ATGTATGTGTGTGTGTATGAGTGTGTGTGCGAAAACACATCAGTAGTATATGTATATATATGTGCATACGTGCGTGTCTGCTCAAACATATTTTTATACATTTCTAAATGTATGTATGAAATAGTGGGATTGATTGCGAAGATATTGTCGCACATCATTTTATCTTATAGTTGGGATAATGCTTCTAGTATTACATATTTATCATGTGTGTGTTGGTGATTGTAATTTGAGGGTCTATTCCTTAGCAGGCTAGTATAAACCACTAAACTCTCCGTCCGTGTAGACATTCGTGAACAAAAGCTTGCGGGCTGGGCCTGTGCGATATCTCGCGAGTTTTCAAGCCAAAAGAAAAAAAGGTCTTTATAAGGCCATTGCTAATTATCATTGTGATGTAATGCCTTCATACCTTGGAGTGAACGTTCTCGTAGGCGCTGATTTAAGTTGTCGAACTCATTCATACGTGCACCTTTCATACTTCTCCCGCCTGTACTGCTGTAATTTCGCAGCCTGAGGTCAGAGAAACACCCAGCACACAATCCGAGGGGAGTGCGGAGACGAAACAAGGCAAGTAGATACGTGGCTGTTTGTGTTCGATCTGTTGTATTGTCTGTTTAGAACAGTATGAGTATGCCACTGTTTGTTTGTGCGTGTGTCTGTGTGAAGACAAGTGGATTTATAAGTTTTGCGTAAAATTACACTTGTTTTGTTTTGTTTATGTTTTTGTAGTTGTTGTTGTGTTTTGTTTATGTTTTTGTAGTTGTTGTTGTGTTTTGTTCATGGCGTCTGCGCCGTTGTATCGGTCTGGTTGCGCAGCCCTCATGTGACACCGCCTGGAAAATCTCGCGATAATACGACTTGGACAGCTCGAGCCATTGTTATTAGACAGTGTGACTGTGTTATAACTCTGAAACTCACGTCCCTGGCGTAGTTGATAAAGACGTAGTCAGTGTGACTGTGTTATAACTCTGGTACTCACGTCCCTGGCGTAGATGATAAAGACGTAGACAGTGTGACTGTGTTATAACTCTGATACTCACGTCCCTGGCGTAGATGATAAAGACGTAGACAGTGTGACTGTGTTATAACTCTGATACTCACGTCCTTGGCGTAGATGATAAAGACGTAGACAGTGTGACTGAGGGCATCGAAGCGATGTCGGCGAAGGAGACGCACGAGAAAGAGATTGATAACCAGCTTGCGGCCAAAGCCAGTGCCAAGAGCGACCGAGATAGCTCGCCATCAGGTATGGCACACATCAGATATCTGTTAATCTCGTACTACTACATGTGCTGGTGTATACACATGATCCCACTTTTCTCAGTCGAATCGTATTCAGACACACACCTGATAGGCCATTCGCTATGTATTATATGTACATACATGTGCATGGCGCGTGAAGCGTGAATGAATCGAGTTGCCTACATATGCTGTTCAGTGCGCCAATATAGAATAGACTATCTTCTGAAGCTCTGTGTATGTGCTTGACTAACCCCTGACATGTCCACCAAGGTCTGTGATCTCTTTTCTCATACAAATATGAAAATATACATTTTGTTTCTAATTATACAGCAGAAGAAAAAGCAGAAGAAAGCGCGCCCTCAGAGACAGCACCCACAGACAGTAAGGAACAGTCAGATACGGATACCACGATAAATATGTCTTATGTATATATGGTTTTATCGTGTTTATAGATACACAAACATTTATTTATACATGAAAATGTATATGTTGCCATGTTATTATATTAATATGTTATCGCTATATATATATTGTGTATACATATATATATATATATATTTATGTATATATATTATTTATTTTTATATTATATATATATTCTGATATATATATATAAGTATATATATATATATATATATATATATATTTACATATATATGTATATATATATATATATATTTATGTATGTATGTATGTATATGTATATGTATAGTCTATTTGTTTCTACATGTGTGAATGTGTGTGTGCGTAATTCATGTGTAGTTTTTGTGTCTGTTCTGATTGGCAGAGAATGTTTTGATATCATGACATGTATTGATATGTCATGTAAGTACCATGTGACTCGTTTACAATACATTCTGACACTACTCATAGCTACTATGGCGCCTTCGTGTGTACTCAGTAGGCCGGTTGTGAGAGAGCAGGAGGTGATTGTGCGTGTTTTAAGTCTGTCGTTCTTAATTTACATTATATAGATTGTACACCCTATTTGATGAGGTCATGTGTAACGTCAATGTTATTTCAGATAGCTATGAATTGGTGAGGGGCTATATGCTGTTTGATTCTGTCCACAAAGGTTTGACCAAATGCCAGAATATCACGGACAATAAACGAAATTCATATTAATTTACAATTCGTATCTTGTGTGGATATCAATAGCATTTCTTCTGAAGTACATACTCACCTGGAATGCATATCTGAGTATCAAGACGATAGTAGTAGTACTCAGGCTGACGCACCCTCCCGTCGCAACTATTCACTTACACGCAAATGCAATTTGGATGTCTCTCCCTCCAGTGGACCAAGGCGACAGCGTAGAGACGGCCACCAACGGAGAAGCACAACACTCCCCTCAAGCCACCGCACATCAACAGCAGAGCCAGTCACCACAGCAACCACCCCAGCAACAGCAACAGCAACAGCAACAGCAACAGCAACAGCAGCAGCAGCAGCAACAGCCACTGAACCCACAGCAGCAACAGCAACAACAACGTGCCATGCAACAACAGCAAATTCAAATGCAACAGCAGATGCACCAGCAGCAGATGATGCAGCAGACCATCACCCCTGCCCAGGCACAGGTCATGCGACAAAGTATGCCAACAACGATATATATATATATATATGTGTGTGTGTGTGTGTGTGTGTGTGTGTGTACAAATTTGTACATATATATATGTATTTGTATATGTATGTATGTATATGTATATAATGTCGTGTATCAGTGGCATTTCGCGGGACGTATCTATGCTGCCTTTTTATCTGTATTGAATTGTTGGTATTGCTCGATGGTTATGATAGTGCGCTATGTATTGATGCTGTCTCGGATTTCATTACCTACCATTTCGCGCCTTCACAAACCAGAACAGCCATACCACGGTGGTTTGCTAGGTGAAGTATTGATATTCGTGTTAGCTTGATTTATGCCTACCCTGTTGTATGTTTCATGTTCTCAAAGGTACAGAATCGCGTGCTCACAATTGGATGTGTTTAATTCACGTTCCACCGCATGAGTTAGTACTACAAGTTACTGGATACGGTTGTGCGTTAGATATACTGTGCTGTCATCTTCCAAATATATATATATATATATATATATGACCAATTATTCGCCTACTCGCCTACACAGACACGTACGAGAATGCAAAGAACGAGCAACGGGTGTCCGATGCAGATGTGAAGTTATTCGCTGACTTTGAGAAGCAGAAGCACGTGGTGTTACGCAAGCAGCGTGATGAGCCCTTGGGCTTTATGATTACAGAGGTGTGGAAAATACAATTTGTATCGTGAACAAAGAATTATTAGCAGAAATATTGAGTATACACAATTACCTTGAACAGGTAAAGATAGACAGAGAATATGGGATACACAAATGTATGTATCTTGAAATCTGAATCGTTTGCAAATACAGAAGCATTTGCCATGCATATGTGCATCTGACGCACCCACTTCGATTGTATTTGCACACAAGTACGGAATGACTATATAGATCTCGGTGAGATGTTTAGTCTTGTTCGTGATTACAGTACCATCGCCATCACATGCCACTTCTGCGTACCTGCGTGTGTCTATCTGTCCCTTACTGTTATATGCCTTCGAGCTCTCACTCATCTTCGCACTGTGTGCGTTCCTACGCATGCTTGTCGGCCACATGGTCTGGTGCGTGTGCGTATATATGCCGGGTGTCCATCCAACTCTGAAGAGGTTGCGTGCACTCCGTCCCACTAGTGCTTCTCCGTATCCCACTGTAGTCCTGTGGCAGTTACTGAGAAGTATCCCATATACTCTGAGAGAAGTTATCTCATTCTCGGTTCTCCTATCGCTCCTCCTTACCGCACTTGCAGACAAGTAGGTCGTCTCTGCTGCCGTGTATCTTCGTATCACATATATTCCCCGGAAGCGTAGCCAGCAAGCACGGCGAGTTCTTTGTTGGAGATCAGATTATAAGCGTCGAAGGCACGGTATGCTTCTTTGTTGGAGATGACAATGTCTGCATATAACTACCACGCATGTTAGCAGGAAGTCAAGGAGTCTTGGTAGACGAATGATTGTGGGTGTGTATGTCATGCACTTGTCTTGGTGATGATATTGTTTGCTTATAACCACCACGCATGTTAGCAGCAAGGCAAGGAGTCTTGGTAGACGAGTGATTGTGGGTGTGTATGTCATGCACTTGTCTTGGTGATGATACAGTTTGCATATAACCACCACGCATGTTAGCAGCAAGGCAAGGAGTCTTGGTAGACGAGTGATTGTGGGTATGTATGTCACGCACGTGTGTTGGTGCCACGTGTGCTGAGAGTTGGGAAGAGTCCTCTGCTGTGTCGTGACTGTTTGTTGAGTGTTTGTAGATTGGACAGATCCCCTCTGTGGCTGTGCCTTGTACGTGACTTTTTTTCTTCTTTTTTTTTCTTGGATGAGCTGCACAATGGTATGCCAGGCCCATACACATGTGAGTATCTCTCTATAAACGTTAGTACATACCATCATCAGAACATAAACCCTTCTTGCTTACAACAGTTTTCACTGGTCTATGTTTCAAGGTTAGGGTTTTCAGGTTTAGTCATATATCATCTCCTAAGCATGCGGGCATTCTCGCATTCGCCCACGTACGCTTGAATAGCATCAGCTACCCTGTTCCACTGTTTGCTTCTGTTTCGATGGACTGTTTGATAATTAACGCTCGTATCCGATTCCTATGGCTGCGTTGTCTGTAGCCCGTCCCCCTGTTTTCTTATATTTTGATTGGCTGTTTGATATTTAACGCTCGTATCCGATTCCTATGGCTGCGTTGTCTGTAGCCCGTCCCCCTGTTTTCTTATATTTTGATTGGCTGTTTGATAATTAACGCTCGTATCCGATTCCTATGGCTGCGTTGTCTGTAGCCCGTCCCCCTGTTTTCTTATATTTTGATTGGCTGTTTGATATTTAACGCTCGTATCCCTTTCTTGTGCCTGTGTAGTCTGTAGTCTGTTCCACTGTTTTCTTCTGTTTGATTGGCTGTTTGATAATTAGCGCTCGTATCCGTTTCCTATGCCTTCGTAGTCTGTAGTGGGACTGCCATTTAAGAAGGTTTTGGAACTCTTCAAGACGCTGCTGGCCTTAGAGAAGATCGAGTTCGTGGTGATCCCCATGGATGTGGTGAATCAGGTCACCATCACACGCAAGCCGAAAGAGAAGCTGGTACGTAAGCGCGCATGCAGCACGTGGTGTTGTGCGTGTAGACATACGGTGTTTCCTGAGTGTGTTATGGGCTCTGTTGCGCGCGTGGCTTGTCTGTAAACTGAGCTATAGCAATAGTGTATGTGGTCTTATATGTGCTATGTGCGTGCACACACTCCTTCATGCATATGTATGTATGATTGCATTGACCCATTTTGCAGCCGCAATACATTTAAAGACACTTAGTTGCTCTGTTTCGATGTGTGCAAGTACTGTGAATGTTTACTTTCGTGTTGAGATATAGTATATACATATAATTTCTCTGTTTCGATGATGCGTGTAAGTACTGTGAATGCTCACTTTCGTGTTAAAATAGTATATACCTGTAATGTAAGTACTGTGAATGCTCACTTTCGTGTTAAAATATTATATACATGTAATGTAAGTACTGTGAATGCTCACTTTCCTGTTCAGATATAGTATTTATGTATAATTGCTGTGTTCCGATGTGTGTAAGCACTGTGAATGCTTACATTCGTGTTGATATATAGTGTATACCTATAATTTCTCTGTTTTAATGTATCTACGTACTATGAATACTTACTTTCGTGGTCAGATATATTATATAGATATAATTGCTGTGTTTTGACGTGTGTAAGTACTGCGAATGCTTACTTTCATAATGAGATATCGTGTATACATATGATAGTGCCCTCCAGATGGACATTACATTTGT